TGCACCTGCGAGGCAAGCACAGGCCAGGGCAGGGGCCAGCGCCCGGCTGAGCCTGCCTCGCCAGCCGTGGCTCTGGCCAACACCCAGGGTCGCCCTAAACCACCCACCACACAGCCCTTGTAGTCTTCCCACCACCACACACACACACACACACACATCACAACACACGCAAGCACGCAGCCACCCAACGCGCTTCCAGCAGCACATCCGCACCCACACCCACACCTTCCCCCCGCGCCGCCCGCCCACCATGTCCTTGTGGTGCACCCGCGCGTCCAGGATCTTGCTGCACACCTCGGTGTTGCCCTTGGACATCAGCTCCTGCGCCACAGCCAGGGCAGCAGGCAGGAAGGCAGGCAGGCAGGCAGGCAGGCAGGCAGGCAGGCAGGCAGGCAGGCAGGCAGGCAGGCAGGAAATGCACTTCAGACAGGAGGCAGCACCAGAGGTGAGCAGCTGGAAAGCAGCCCAGGGCCTGGCGGCAGCCCCGGCTGCCCACCCACCTCGAAATACTCCAGCGTCAGGTTCAGCATCTGCGGGGAGGTCATGGGGAGGAGTGTGGATTGGCAGCAGGTTGGAAGCTGCCACAGTGTGACGCGCGCCGCAGCCGCCGACTACACCAGCGCCGCCGCCGCCGCCGTGGCGCCGCCGCCTCGAACCCCGGCCCGCCGCCTGCCCCAGGGCTCCAGCCGCACTGTGCTGGCCCAGGCTGCCCTGCCAGCAGCCCGTCCAAGGCCCGTTTCTCTCACCTTGGTGGCGTGCACCTGGTCTGGGGAGGCGTCCAGAGTGGCGGAGCCCCCATTGACCTGGTGGCGGCCGTTTTTGAAGGCCAGGGGGCGTGGCGAGCGGCGCGGCAGCCTGGCAGCCGCCGGGCCAGCGCAGCTCGGGCCAGCGCAGCTCGGCTGCACGGGGCCCCCGCCACCCTTGGCACACAGTTGATGCTGATGGCTTGCATGGCTGTAAAGTGAGGGAGAGAAAAGCGGAAGAGGCAGGTCCAAGGTCCTACAATGTGTGCCACCCGCCAACTCAGCACCCGGCGCGCAGCACGCACGCCGCGCCGCCTTCCTTTTGGTTGTGAATTTAACTGCACAGGCCGCCCGCTCTTCCTTTCAGGGCCAAGGGGCCACGTCACGTAATGGCAGGGATGGGAGCAGACGGGTGGAGGAACAGGCGGTGCCAGGTCGGGGAAGGCGGGCAGTCGCACGCAAAGAATGGCAGGCTTGCGAGGTCTCTCAAGTGCTTCATGGTTGCGCTCGGTCAGTGTCAGGCAGGCGGCGGCGCCCTCAGGCCTTGGCCCCGGCCTCCTTCTTGCCCTTCTTGCCCTTGCCCTCGCAGCAGGGCTTGGGTGGTTGCGCGGGCTTGGGCGCGTAGAAGCGCTTGGAGGCCTCGAGCACCGTGAAGAAGACGGAGCCGCCGATGCCGATCCACACGACGCGAGGCTCCCAGCCCCTGCGGCAGAGGAAGGTGGGTGGGTGGGGTTTGCGGTGAGGCACCAGGGACGGGTTGCGGCTGGCCAGCAGCGCAGGGCAGGAGGGGGACTGGGGGCCGCCCGGCGGGCTGTGCGACGGACTATGCGCCGGCTGCGGCCGTGCGCCGACCAGACGGGCCGCACCGGAACATGGCGGCGGCCCCCTCCTCCCGGATGATCTTGGTGGCACAGTCCACCACTCCCTTGTACTGGCCTGCGGCGGCGGGGCAGCCACACACACGCGTCAACACACACACACGGCGTGGTCAGCGGGAACAGAAGGGGCAGGCACATGCCGGGACCTCGGGGGCGGCCCGCAGTGGGGCAGGCAGGCGCTCTGCAGGCACGCCGCGCCCTCCCGGCCCATCCGCTAGGGCCCCGCGCTGCGCAGCCGGGGCCCGGCAGCGCGCCCCCGCCCCACCCACCTGACGCCCCCTGCAGCATGAGCCGCGTCTTGAGCACGTCCAGCGGCGTGGTGACCAGGCCCGTGAAGGCGCCCGCCACCGCCCCAAACACAGAGTGCTCGGCGGGGTTCAGGTCGCGCTCGCCGCGCAGCACCGTGGCCTGGTAGCTGCGGGGGTGGTGGGGGCGGGGGTGGGGTGGCAGGCGGGGGGGGGGTGAGGG